CATTAAGATACAAGTACGAAAATAGTACAATACGATACAAGTACGGGAAAGTAGATTCTTGTCTCGTGTAGCGTTTACGCCTGAGCGAAGCAAGGATGAAAAGAAACTTGTATCGTAATATACTATATTCTAATTGTGCATAATAATTAGCTGATTGCTTATTACCAATTTTGTTTGATTTATGTAAACAAGAGTTTTTTACTATTCGAGAATATTTCAAGGTATTAACGACATTCAACTGTAATCTTATTGAAAGAGCTATTGATACGTAATTGTTCTCCCCGATGTTATAAATGAAAGTTTAGGCTTTCTAATGTTCTTTATCATTTTAAAATCATGTAAGTCTGCCTAATTTCGAAGGAACTTTGATGTTCTCCAATAATAAATTCGTACGATAGATCTGTTCTTCATACAATGTATCCAATAGAATATTGGTTATTTACTTGGTTACTCTAGCAAGGCAGTAAAGAGGATTCAACAGAAAACCATCGACTACATCAAACTTATTCAAATTTAGTAAGCCAGAGCCATACAGAATTCCATCTTCGTTTGTTTTCACATTGTCACCTAGAATTTGAGTCAAACGTTCTATGATATTATTCCGCATTCTTTTACCTGAAGCCGGAACTATCAAAGTATACCTCATGCTTCCAGTATCGCGTATGCCTGGATAAAAGCACTAATTACAGCCACAGTGCCCGTTTAATTGCTTAAGGCTTTGCATTGGTGCTCGAACCTATCAATACAGGAACAGACTGCATATAGCTTGAACGTAGGCAGATAACCTTTTATATTACATTTAATTCCTTCAGTTGAATATTTATTCATACTAAAAACAAATGGATCTAAATACGATGCCATTTCTGGCTTTTCTCTTTCTAAATACATTCCACAAGCAACATGATTCAATATAATCTTGCTTGAAGAGGTATTTCGTTAATCATTAAGTATAAAGACCAAATAGAGTTCTTTGAACTTTGAAATCGATTTGCACCATAAGTGTTAAACGTTATAATTAAATAGCAATACTTCTCAGCTGCCGACAATTGCTGCACAACATTTTTATAACATCTTCCATCATACATATCTTTAACGGTACCGTTCTCATGTATCCTTGCGTTTGCTATATCATTATGATAATATGTATACTGATTTACCAAATCTTTTATCGCATCCGATGGATTTATAAGTACGAAAATGTTATCGCGTGACGATGTCGATGAATCAATATTTTCACTTCAACTTTCGCACATCATGCGAAGTTGAATTTAATTTGAGTTTAATTTAATTAATACGACAAAATATATTTTGCAATTTGAACAAATGGCATAAAATTGCGCATTTTTTTAATTATTAAAAATTTCATCTTACATATATCTAGTATTAAACGTTATTGATTGAAGATATATAGTATTATATAATTAATTGTAAGAAAGCTACTCTGACAGCAATTGGCACCTTAAAGCGTATACGTAGATCATTAAAGATTCATTAATATTACTTCACCAACGGATGCATCTGGAGAAATATTAATTTTAACTAACAATTTTTCGTCAAAAATTAGACTGTTCATACTTTTTGGTTAAAAGAAGCTATTGTGAGAACTTGTTAATGTTTCTTCGGTTTGAATACCGATTATTTGTTTTATTACTGACGTCATAGTATTGCAGGGTTCATCGAAATTTCCTTCATTTGTCAATCAAACCTAAAAAAATATAAGATATGTTTCAATAAATTGATATGAAATAAGCAATTAATGAACAATGATCTGTTTAGCCAAATTTTCATAATTTGAATTATATTCGACGAATTATAAGATAGATATTTTGATCCAGAAGTCGTATCGATCTTTAAATTATAGTGAAATAGGGATATATAGATAAACTTTTTTTAAGTAGGTTTAAGAAATATTGGGTAATTAAAAGAATCAATAAACCGCTTGTTGTATGAAAATTCAAGGCTCTGAGCTCAAAAAACGCTCGAAAGCTCAAGCTAACTCGAAAGCTCAGGTGGGCTCGGAGCCTCGAAACTAGCTTGAGACAACTTGAACTTGCCCGAACCAAACCAAGCCGAGCTTTTGCAGAAGCCTACAGTACACTGACACTGTGTGTGCGCGCTCGCACGTATGTGTCTTATCATATAGAATTTATATGTTCATTACCTAATTTCTAGTTTTGTAAAACATATAGACTTGTACATCTAGAGATTATAACTTTTTTCTCTGCTACAAGCAGACATTTTGCAGTTTTTATGCGTTTTTCACGCAGCTTGCCTGCCGATTAAATAAAGTTCTAAGTACTCCGTGATCCGGCATAAGTAATTTATTCGAGAGCCGTACTTAATAAGTTCAGTATGCTTGATGATCAGTAATTATAATGAAACTAAACGTGCAATAATATATGCTTTCGTAATATTTAACATGTGCTTGTGTTCTTTCATCCGCGTGGATTACTAAACTCAGCCCACAACTTGTATTAATGACAAGGTTTTCTTGCAAATTAACTTGAAATGTATATATAAAAGTTGCATATGAAGTCCATTGTCATATTAACCAATAAATATTTCATGTCTTCAAAGAGAAATGAAAATTCTAAACTAATATACTAGCTTATAATTAATCATCATTTACATTGAAGTAATAGTATAATTATAGATATTAATTGAAAGCCAACTTAATGCTGACCTCTATATTAGAAGCATTGGTTATTTGATTGTATTGCCTTTAAGTTTGAATTTTCTAGTTCAGAAGAACATTCCAATTGACTTGTTTGTTCTTGTATTCTCTTTGCGTTAGAAGGAAAAAAATGATCGTACAGTCTACATTTTTCTCGTATTTCGTACGAATTTTGTATTTGACTTTCAGTGATATCTGTTAGCACTTAATTTACATAACAAATTGTATATTGATCGTAGCTGCATATAACTATCACTTTTTCAAAAAATAAAAAAGTTACATTCGCCTCTGCGTTTTCTTCGAGTATTGATTTTGGAACTATTGCAAAACTTATTAACACTACGTTATAGCAATAAATCCTGCTCCTTATTTAAAAGTGACTCATTGAAAACTGATTTATTCACATAATCATACGTAGTTATTACACACAACTGATATTAGAGACAATTTGATGAATAAATAAATGTGTCTCTACAAAAATAAAGAAATGAGTACTATATGAAACAAATACAATGACATAAATTTAATTTTATGATTTAATACTAATTTTGTAAATTGAAAAATACCTTATTGCGGAACTTTCATGCTGAATTTGACAGCAACTTTTCGAATTTCATAGAATGAATGCAACTCATAAACAAATGTTTCGTCGATATGTTGCTGTGATAGCATTAAACAACATAAAAATATGACAAAAAGCACACAATCAGCATATAATTTATTAGTTATTAATTAATATCGTGAGTTAAAAAAACGTATGTTAATAATAACAATTGCCTTAAAAGTATTAAATGGGCACGAGTACGTTTTGGAAGATATGACAACAAATGACAAAGAAATAGAGCATATTAAATATGATAAAAATGATGAATGTCATATTCAACTTAAATATGACAATGATTTTGATCCACAACATTAATATTATGTTCGATGGGAGTGTGATTGTGGCTGCAAGAAAACACGTACATCTGGAGAGCATTTTTCCCATCAGTGCACGTACGTATTCGTACTACTTGGAGGTAGGTTTTTTTGGTTCTACTTCTTTTTACTCTGGTAACAGTAATTACAATTTTAACCTAAAAAAATGCACACAAAGAATTCAGTTTGCTCAATAAATATGATTATAATTAAATCGTAACTTATCTGAATAACAGTTTAACGCTCTTCTTTGCCAGCTGAGAAAATATAAGTACAGATGCAACGTGCAATAATTTTATGATGAACATAATAGTAATCAATAGGTCAGCGGTTGGCTTTATATATAAATTTATATAAAATACAAAAAAATGATACTTTAACTGCGTTCTTGGCGTTCCATTTTTCGATTAGTACATATATGCTAACGTGCAAATATACAACGTATATATATAGGCTTCATGGTGTTTTTTTAGCGTGTCCATGCAGCAGAATTGTTTTTTCTTGTTACAAGAAAGCAATTTTATATTACTTTAACTGCATTTTATTTATATTTTATTATAGATTATATTATATTATATTATAGTTTCTATTATAGATAGCAAATATGACATTGATCGGACTGAAAATTCAATGAAAAATTCAAGAAATAGCCACTTGAGAATTCACAAACGAGTTGACGCTACATCTAAAAGCCTAACGACTGATGATGATGAAGTTTAAAATATAGATACTACTGATGAAGAGATTAAAGGTTCACGTAAACGAAAAAAGGTATTTTTATTTTCAAAAATCTTTGCGCTTTAATTTATAATGATAATTAATCTTATTACAGAACTATAAGAAGACAATACTAAAAAAGCCAAAAGAAATGATACAGCAAAAATTTTAGAAGAGACGATGACGGTATATGATGTTTTATATCGTATCTAATAATAAAAATTCTTCTGGTACTTATCGAATTTACAGATTTCGGAAAATTTCCCTGATTATGACCGTTTTTTACCGCAAATTGAAATTTGTGAAAGTCCTGTATTCAGTGTAGATATACTCGACAATGTTTCATCCGTCCCATCAGAGATAAATAGTTTATCTACACAAGGAGCAGAATCATCAGCCTACAATCATATACTAGTACCTGCATCAAAACCTCCATTCCAATCACTATGTAAATCGAGATCACAAATCAACTTTCAGTTCACGATTCACAACCAGCTTAAGATTTAGATCGAAACCAAGATTTTCATCTCCAACCCAATCACGTTCGACGCGCAATTCAAGATCGAGATCAAATTCGAGAAGCAAAACGAGATCTCCACTCCAGGCCGATCAAACTCGACGCGCAATTCAAGAGCAAGATACAGATCGATTTCGATATCCAATAAAGAATCGAGCGTTATATCAATGACATCGATAATCAGTTTCGGCGGAATGTTAGATCAGGTGCCGGAAAACGTAAGAAGCCAAGTAAATGAGAAATCCACAGCACTACATCAACTTGATTACTTACGTACAAAGATAGTGCAGAATTGGTATAAATAAAAAAAAATTTTTTTAATTTTAACCTTAGAGAAATTCGTGGTATATTCTACTTTAATATTTTGAGAATCTTTTTTCAGAACCTTAAGAACGATTATGTTTTGTAGATGAGGATAATGTCGACTCGGATGGTCCAGACAACCTTGAATCACCCGCAGAATTAAAGCGTTTAGGAAAATCCTCTGAAAATAACATGGTAAAAATAAAATTTATTTTTTTTGGATCTGATAACAAATTTTTATTGCTGTATTCTAGGTTTATATTGAACTAGGTAAATTTTACAGTAAATTTTTATATGAATTGGCGCAAAGAAAAAGTGTTTCCATGTACTCGAGATTTCTACTCAACTGCTATTACAATCAATCTCGGAGCACGTTAAGCAGCGACTTATAGACCATTTAGAGTAACTAGCTAGTTTTAAGATATGCTTGCAAGCTCTTCTATCTTAATAATTGCGCCTACACTAAAATTTCTGTTATCGTGTATTTTATTATGTTTATTAATTTGTTGGTTTGATGACTATGTCTGTACAGTTTTTATAGCTCTAATCTATTGTGTTATATGTACTGTTTTTTATTGGAGTTACCTGCGCGCGCGACACAAAAACATGTAAGTGCATAGGGCAATTCGCGTCGAAAGCACAATACTTTTTTGTTCCTTTTCAAATAAATAATCAGGTTGGAGTTTGATTGCACGTTGGTGTACACAGAACGTTCAACTACCACCGCACAGGTTCGAAAGTAAATTGTTTGTTGTTCTTCGTGTCGCGCCGGCTTGTCACCTAACCATAACAGGAATCAACGACTTTGTAAAATTAATTTATCAAAAACTGGTTATAGAGTTGCCTCCGACATAGACGTATTCAGAGAATAGTTATTTACTATATAGAAATAATTGACTCCCCGAGTCATTTCATCGGTTGTAAAGTAACAATCCAAATAATAAATAAAAGTTTATCACCAAGAATTGTTTCATTTTGTATACAGAACACGCAGACATTTCTTTAAGAACCAAATTCTTCTATTACTTTATATAACTCTTGCATTAGAAGCAAATAATTTTTACGGAAAAAAATGTTATTTTCCAAACAATTCTAAAAAAATTGCTCCGTATTTTTTAAAAAAATAGTATTTTCTTTGGAATAATCTTTTTTCTATCATTCGAATTTTGACAGATACAGAAAATCAAACATTAATGTTCTTTGAAACGAAAATGCGTATAAAATAGCTGAATTTAAATAAAAATTTTTTTACAAAAGTGATTTGAATGGTACTGAGATCACACTGGCTCAGTGGGTGAAAATCTAAAATTTATCTCTAAAATGAGTGAATGTAAGGGGTCTCACAAGAATAGTACAAAGTACAGGACTTGTTAAAAAAAAGATTACGCCATGGTTTTCCGTCGAGAAGTAATGCTACGTTACTTTTTCTTACTCAATCAATTCGCTAGCAGACCAAGATTATGCAGGTTTATTTGTTCAGCTAGCCCCCGATGACTGTGAGGTGGTTATAGTCGGATGACATTGTCTGTAACCACCTACCTTGAAGAGACCAGGTCAGTCTCGTCTCACGGTGGCTAGCTTGGGTGAGCCGGCTTCATACTCTATTGTCGAAGGATTTGCTTGATTTTTTACCACACAAAATAAAGAAATAACAACAAAAACAATAATAAACAATGACGAGAATAATAATAAAATATAATATTACAATGAATATTTTGTTATACGTTATTAATTTTTCGAGGATTGTAGCCCTGAAAAGAACTTATCATTTAGCACTAACAAGTATACGGTATACTTGATACCGTAGGCCCGTATAGTCTAGTCTAGTCAAGGCCTCGAGCACGCTCCTATAACGGGTCAATGAAATCGTTTACCACTTGGCACAGCCGGAAAACATTAGAACCGCTAGGGTGCGTCAAGAGGCTCACTAGTATGCCTGAGATTTCTTTGTATAGCGGGTACCTTTCGTACGCCGTCAACTGCTGACATGTTACTTCGATATGATCGAAGTTTAATAAGTAATCTTGGAAAAATCTGATTTCAACTTGTTAGTCAAAAATAAAGCCTCCCTTGCCAAGAGTGTCAAAATACTAATTGTTATTGGGGGCTGTCCATTCTATAATAAGTAATGACAGACACCACCTAAAAGAAATATCAAAACAATTTTCTTGAGCTCTATGATTTTACGACTGGGAGTGGCCTGGACTTAATGAGGTATACAATTTAAGTCTCTCTCTTTTCCGTTTGTGAATTTATCCGGTATTTCCCTGGCATCGATGCACCGGCTCATAATGTTATAATTAGTGTACTTATTAGGAATAACAATGATAGACGCTTACAGAAGAGTAGACTTTACGGATGCCTATAATAAGCTCAATGAATAACGAATCCATTTTTCATCATCAGTCACAATTCAATGCAAAAAAACTTTCCTTTTTTATTCTTTGAAGCAGCTGTTCGCAAGTGAAAAATCGTCTCTCAACATCTCTTGGTTTCAGTTCGTATGGCACTCAATTTTCTTGCTTTTAAATAAAATCTAATGCCTTCAAGCGTTATGAAATGTCTGATAAATAACTTTCAATGATTTTGCAAATTTTTCTAACATTTGACACGAGTCTTCATCCGTTAATGCCTTTAATTATTCATCTGTTTCGGTGGGCCAGAACGTTCTTTCTCTATGATGTCGAAATCACCGCTTATGAAACGTGTAAACCACTTCTGATACATTTTAACATCCAAAGCACTTTTTAATTTTTGAGCAGCTTATGATAAAGTTTGAGCAGTTTCCTCCTATAATCCTCTTATAAAAAAGAGGACTTGACAAAGTGAAGCCAGTTTATTCATGAGCTGATTGGCTTAAAGATAGTTACGTGATCAGCTGGTGTAGGCTATTATGTATAGGTATATGCTGTGTACACATGAAAGATTACCGTAGATTTCCGTAGAAATTAAATGTTTGAAAAGTACATCAATATAGTGAGCATGAATTTCATATGAATTGATCGCTTTAATCATATTAACTTGAAAGTAATGACAACTGATGATTTAAATAGAAAAATTAATTGAATTTTGCTGTATGTGAAAGTTTAACTTTAAATAAATAAAGTTAACCATAAAATATATAATTTGACAGATTATCAGGATAAAATATTGTACAGTTTTGGCTTTATTAAGTAACGTATATTATTAAAAAATTTTTTTGAAAAGGTACTAATTAAAACTGTGATCGTTCTATACCGAAGTATGTTATTTACATCGAAATGAATATGATTATTGAAAACTATAATGTATTTAGAACTTAAAATACATTTGTTATCGTGTTTTTCAAACTTTCGAATAATGATTTTTTAATACAGAACTTAAGATGATAAAAACTTCGTTGGTAACATTTTGAAATCATGAATATATAACTGCATATTTATTTATCAATAAATAATATATCGTTGGCCATATCTCATATCAAATAAAGGAATATCTAATGCATATTGAATTTTCGAATGTTCTATTTCGCCAGTAAAAATGTAATCTATATTCGTGCTTTAAAATGAATGTAAAGAAAAAAAGGAGCGCGCGAAATGCGTTAAAGACCACTAGTATGATAAGATTTGGAGAAAAAAAATATGGCCTTTCAAAAAAATTAATTTTGAATTTGTTTAAATGCATTTTTCCCGTCATCTATTAATATTTTTTCGTTTTATTCGTGTCATTAAAAGAGTGTTATAAACACTACAAAATAAGTGAAGAAACATTTCCGAAGATCAACAAAAAATATAAATCAAAATAAAAAACACTTAGAACTAACTTTTGATAAAATGAAATTTCGGACATGCACTTTAAAATACATTTAAAAAGTGCAATTGAAGTGCAATCAAACAACAATAAAATACGAGTTGGCTTATTTTTAATACTTAAAAACATACTACCATTCTGGCTCAAATTGAGACGAAGTTATACCATCGGCCTGCCTGATTTGTTGGAGAGGTGCTATTCAACATAATGATTTTTTTGTTTTCAATTTGTTTTGTAAAGTTAATTTCAAATAATCACGTCATTATTTAATTATATTTAAATGAATATATCTTTAATAATTTTGTTTTTGATTTAATTCAAAAATAAAATTTTCTTAACATTACATTTATGACGTCGGGGTCACTCTCAGGTACGTGTGGAGTAAGCGTAAGCTCAAGGTTGCTCTGATTTGTCTTGCGTGCAACGCATAAGCCGGGACGAGCAATATTGTTGCGCAGAGAAACTACTAATCGGAAAATAATAATTGAGCGTTATTATTGAACACACCAGGCTCTCACTTAATGTGTTCTTAAGGGACTCTAAGGAAAATTTGCCAGACTCACGCTTAACGAATTTCTAGAAAGAAAGGAGAACTAGAGAGAAAGAAAAGAAAAGGAAAGATGGCCACATATAAAATTCACTTACTTTTTATTTTATTTGATTGCTTGATACTTAGGCTGCGTACTCTCTACTCTTTGACCTCTATCTCTCTCTCTTAATTCTGAATGCACTTGGCTGACTTCTTGGTTGAGTTTTTGGCTTACTTCTTGACACTACACTGCACTACTAATCCTTCTCAACAAATTTTCTATCCTTTTTTGTTTCCTTCAGTACTGGTCCCACAGTTTTGTACAGAGCTTTTTATAAGTAATGGGTGTTTGGATGAAAATTCCGTTCTTCCGGCCCATGACATGATGACAATTAAAATTTTCTATATTGGTAGGAAAAATTTTCTTATCCGATTTGGTATTTGTAATTGGTCGGAGGGCGTGAGTTTTCAGAGAAAGATAGGGCGGTCCTTTCTTAACTTGGGCCTTTTTCTCCAGAGATGGCTGTTGGAGTGCCACTTTCGAGAGCAAGAGTGTCGCTATGGTTTATAATTACTTACACAAAATCATACTAGACTTAGTTAATTTTAATGATACATGGTGATTATTTAATAGTGGGAGAATTATAATAACTATAAATTACAATAGTTCAATAATTAACTATTATAAACATTTAGAAAAATCCATAAACTTCTAAGAGTTATTATAAAATGCATTTCGGTTCTATTGTTGTTTTCGCTTAAAACATGAAATTATTTATTAGTTATTTTGTTCTTGCAAGGGTTGAACTGGATAAATAATATATCTTTAAAAGATGCGCATTATGGGTCGAAGGTTATTAGAACAATCACTATTTGATAGTAACTTACAAAATTGATTAAAACACATTTAATATTACGGATATTCTCTTCTGACTAAAATGATTTTCAGAATGAGAACTCGATTATAGGTTTCAGAAAGCCATAATTATCTATTAATAAGAAAAATTTCCGGATTTCAATAATTTTATTTTAATCGATTTCAATGGTAAATTACAAAGTTTCTTACAAAGAGAAAATTCGGTGGGAAAAAAAATAGATTGTGGCCTAAAAGATAGACTATGGCCCCTCTTCTTATGGGTGGGATAGTGCTTCAAAATATATACGCGATGATCCTAGGATCCTATCAACACATGCGAATGGGACAAAGCAGAATAGGGCAGCGATTGTAAGGCCGAGTACACAGATTTGGACCACTATCAGGTTTTATATCAACACCTTATTCCAGATGTGCTTTCCGCATGGAAAATTTTATTAGTAGCGACTCTCAATCCTGCTTTTTTTTATATATCTTGAAGGTTCACATTCTGTTCTTAATATTGATTTAAGATTTAAGAAGATTTTTTTCTGTTCTTAATATTATTTTCTTAACCTCTAAAGGTTAAGAAATTTTAATTAACTTGACCTTTTCATTGATAAATAACGATTTGAATGCTGAGCTCCCTGCTATGCTGGATTCTTCCTCCGTGGGTCTTTCCGTACCTGCGTTCCATAACGGTCAATTAAGAAATATGTGAATAAATTGCTAAAGATAAAACTATACTTTTCCATCTTTTATTATAC